TCTCTAAGCCACGGTCTCCATTTAGCGCTGGCCCCAGATTACTCACTCAGGTATCGCCAGCCCCGAGGTGTGATTGAATTATCAATAACCTAATAAACAGCAGGGACAGCGTTTGTCATTGCCAATCTAAACTGATTACGCCTTTCAAACAGAGAAAACAGAATCTTGAGAATAAACTGAAATACTCTTGCTGAGAACATGAATGTTGGCACTATGACTTCTATTATCTATCTTTTTTTCATCTTCACAATATGTGAAATACTAGTAGTTTATGGAGGACAGGAGCCGAAAAGAATTAATTCATAAAAAAAACGAAAACTAGTCATACCCTACCCAATTTACAACTGACAGAAAACACGTCAACAGAAAAAAGTCAGTTTTTCTGACAGTCACAGTTAGGGAACTTTAAAGTCAACTACAAAAATTGGTCTTTTTCTTGGTTCTTTTTGGCAACTAAGAGCTGAAAATAAAAATGAAACTGCACTGACCCTTGAAAATGAGATGAAATGTGGCCTTTTACTGGTACTCATGACTTAATAAAATTTCCATTTTTCCATATTTTATCTTATGTACATCCTTAACCTAACATGCTGCAAGCTCTTATCTGTATTTGATGTCAAGTTTGAGAGAACTTATCAGCTGACTCAGAGAATTAAAAAAAATCAGTCAATAGCGTGACTTCTGCTTTCGCATGAAAAGACTTCCAAGTTAAAAGGTGCGAATGATAATCAATGTGCAGGCATTTGTTTTCCAGTCATGACCAATGGTATATGCACAGACAGGCATTTTCATGGATATTTTCACTCTGCATGCTATAAATGTTACATGCTATTGTTAACTACAAAGATGAAAATAGGCAGATCTGAGTCACTGGCCGCAGGTACAATCTGGAAGTTAAGCGAAGTCAAATTTTTTCTCTTCCAACTTTATTCTTCTCCTTAAATCTTTCTAAATTCCATTATGAAATATGGCTGACAGAAATATACAGTTACCTTAAGAACTTACAAAGGCAGACCCCCTCCCCCCACAAATATCATAAAACTCACTTTCCTGCTGGGGAATAGTTGTCATATCCCCCCTCCCCTTTCTACATAAAAAGCTTTCATTTGCACCTAACCTACCAAAAAATAAAGGAAATTGGATAAGGAAGACCACCATGTCTCTACTGTCTTTGGCTAAATTGGTACCAATAGAACAGGTGAAAAGTTCAAGGTGAAAAGAAACAATGGGGG